TGTTGCGTGTGTGCGTGGTGTGTGTGTGTGTGTGTGTGTGTGGCGCCGTCGTAGAGGCACTAAAATGCCGGGGGCAATGGGGTAGAAAATCCTTCCCTTAGCATTTACTAAAAAAGAAGAAAAAAAACTTTTAAAAACTGGGATGCTTAAAGTCGGGGTAGTGCGGATGACAAGAAAAAAGATGATTTCATGTTTGAATGAAAAAAAAAGTTGGTGTCTGGGCCCAAAACGAAACAAAGCTGAAGGGGGGAGGGGAGTTTCGGTGGGGGGAAATAAAGGGGAAAAAAAATGGGTACTGGAGGTTTTTAGCTAAGGGAAAAGGTAGCAGTGATGTTGAAAAATCAGTTTGGAAGGAGAAAAAAGAAAAATGAATATGTAATTCAAGGGGTTTTGGGGATTAAAGTAAAGGGGGTTTGGTGCGAAAAAAGGGGTCAAAATAAAGGGGTATGCACCGGAGAAGAGAGGAAAATAGAGGAGAGAGAGAAATTTTGGGGGATGTTAAGTGAATGTATGGGAACCCTTTGACCAAGTGGAGATAATTGTTGTAGGGGACCGAATTTCTAAAGCAGGGAAACTTTTTGATAGGGTGTGGAGGTAAGTTTGGGGGCTAGGTGTAAATGATAAAAAGGGAGCCCTTTTATTTTAACTTTTTATAGAAAGGGGGTTTTGTTATGGTAATACAATTTTTTGAAAAAAAAAGGATAAAAAATATACAAGTATGATGTAGGGCGAAATGACAGTGTTTTTGGATTTGTATTGTAGATAAAGACTGTTGAGTAGACTTCAGGTTTACATGTTTATAGAGGGGCCACAGATATATCAGATCACTTTTAGTTGTAGCTACACTGAGAGTAAAGGGTAGATGGGATACAAGGAGAATAGAAGCATCAGAGAAGAGAGAAGTGAAGGTTTATAAACAAAAAGAGGAGGCAGTTAGGGTAAAGATATAAACAGCTATTGGAGGATAGATGGGCTAATGAGAGCATTGGCAATGGTGGTCGAAGAGGTATGGGGTAGGTTTAAAAATGTAGTGTTAGTGTGTTCAGCAGAAGTTTGTGGTTACAGGAAAGTGGGGGGGCGGGAGGGAAAGGGGAAAGCGATTGGTGGAATGATGATGAAAAAAGAGAGTAGAAAGGGGAGGAAAAAATTAGCTTAGGAGAAGTTTTTACAAAGTAGAAGTGATGCAAGGAGGGAAGGGAGTATATGGAGAAAAAGAGAGAAGTTAAGAGAGTGGTGAAGCAATGAAAAATGAGAGCAAATGAGAGAGTGGGTGGAGATGTTATAAAACAATTTTGTTGAAATAAGAAAAGTTTTGGAGTTAGATTAACAAATTAAGGAAGCCTAGGAACAATGGATTTGTAAGTTAAAAATAGGAGAGGAGAGTTTTTAAAATGGAAAGTTAGAGGTATTGGGAAGATGGGGGAATATTTTGAGGAATGTTAAATGTTGATGAAGATAGGGAAGCTGTGATTTCGTGTATAGGGCAAGGAGGAATAACATCTTGTAGGAGTGAGGAAGAGCAGTTGTGAGTGTGGAGGAAAGTTCGTGAGGCGTAGGTAAAATGAAAGGGATTAAGGCAACCGGATTGAGGGGATAAAGATAGCAATGTTAAAAGCAGGTGGGGATATAGTTTTGGAGTTTTGGTGGCAATTATTTAATAAATGAATGGAAGTGGGTAAGTTACTAGGGATTGGCAGAGAGCTTTGAAATAGTTCCTTTGTATAAAGGCAAAGGGGACAAAAGAGAGTGCAAAAATTATAGGGGATAAGTCTGTTGAGTATACCTGGTAAAGTGTATGGTAGAGTTATTATTGAAAGAATTAAGAGTAAGACAGAGAATAGGATAGCAGATGAACAAGGTGGCTTAGGAAAGGTAGGGGGTGTGTGGCCAGGTGTTTACAGTGAAACATATAAGTGAACAGTATTTAGATAAGGCTAAAGAGGTTTTTGTGGCATTTATGGATTTGGAAAAGGCGTTTGACAGGGTGGATGGGGGTTTGAAATGGGGCAGAGGTTGCAGGTGTATGGTTTGTAGGAGGTAGGTTACTGAAAGCAGTGAAGGTTTTTACGAGGATAGTGAGGCTAAAGTTAGATTATGTAGGAAAGAGGGAGGTTTTTTCCCCAGTAAAAGTAGGCCTTAGACAAGGATGTGTGATGTCACCATGGTTGTTTAATATATTTATAGATGGGGTTGTAAGAGAAGTAAAATGCGAGGGTCTTTTGGCAAGAGGCGTGGAGTTAAAAGATAAAGAATCACACATAAAGTGGGAGGTTGTCACAGTTTGCTCTTTGCTGATGACACTGTGCTCTTGGGAGATTCTGAAGAGAAGTTGCAGAGGTTGGTGGATGAATTTGGTAGGGTATGCAAAAGAAGAAAATTAAAAGTGAATACAGGAAAAAGTAAGGTTTTTGAGGAAAACAAAAAGATTAGGTGATGAAAGATTGGATATCAAATTGGAGGGAGAAGGAGTATGGAGGAGGTGAATGTATTCAGATATTTTTGGGGAAAGGACGTGTCAGCGGATGGGTCTATGAAAGATGAGGTGAATCATAGAATGGATGAGGGGAAAAGGGTGAGTGGTGCACTTGAGTCTGTGGAGGCAAAAAACTTTGTCCCTTTGGGGGCAAAGAGGGGGGAAAGTATGAGAGTATAGTTTTACCAATGCTCTTATATGGGTGTGAAGCATGGGTGATGAATGTTGCGGCGAGGAGAAGGCTGGAGGCAGTGGAGATGTCATGTCTGAGGGCAATGGGTGGTGTGAATATCATGCAGAGAATTCGTAGTTTGGAAGTTAGGAGGAGGTGCGGGATTACCAAAACTGTTGTCCAGAGGGCTGAGTAAGGGTTGTTGAGGTGGTTCAGACATGTAGAGAGAATGGAGCGAAACAGAATGACTTCAAGAGTGTATCAGTCTGTAGTGGAAGGAAGGCGGGGTAGGGGTCGGCCTAGGAATGGTTGGAGGGAGGGGGTTTAAAAGGGGGTTTTGTGTGCGAGGGGCTTTGGGCTTCCAGCGGCATGCGTGAGCGTGTTTGATAGGGGTGAATGGAGACAAATGATTTTTAATAGTTGACGTGCTGTTGGAGTGTGAGCAAAGTAACATTTATGAAGGGATTCAGGGAAACCGGCAGGCCGGACTTGAGTCCTAGAGATGGGAAGTTCAGTGTCTGCACTCTGAAGGAGGGGTGTTAATGTTGCAGTTTAAAAACTGTATTGTAAAGCACCCTTCTGGCAAGACAGTGATGGAACGAATGATGGTGAAAGTTTTTCTTTTTCGGGCCACCCTGCCTTGGTGGGAATCGGCCTGTGTGTTAATAATAATAATAATATATATATATATATATATATATATATATATATATATAATATATATATATATATATATATATATATTATATATATATATATATATATATATATATGCAATAAGATCACAGTAAACAGGTGATTTCAGAATATGCAAATATGGTTGTTTTGCATATATATATATATATATATATATATTTATATATATATATATATTATATATATATATATATATATATTATATATATATATATATATATATATATATATATATATATATATATAACACTGTGACTAACCGTGGGATCGAACCCGTGTTGTTTTAGTCTGCCTCATGGTAAGCAAAAATTCGCAACACAATAACCCACTGGACCATCCAATCCTACAAAGATCACTCGTTCGTGGTTACAATAATATATATATATTGCTTGTGGAGGCTAGTGCATCAAATGGGGAGTAGAGTGGAAATTAGCTCTGCGGCACCTGGAAAATTCATCTTTTACTCAACTTTAAACTTTTAGTGCTCAAGTATTTTCTTCAGTGGAAGCTCTAACTTGATTTTATGTTGTGTAAATTTTAGTGGTAAGTTTTAGTTGTCGTTTACAAAATTACTGGAGAATGTCTCTTCTGGTCAGAAATAGGTGAGTGTTTTGTCTCTATTTTTTATCATGTATTTAATCTATACAATGTACTTTTATTTTCCCATACCATCTGTCTGCCTTTATGACAATTGAAAAGACTGTGTATGCTATGCCTACAGCTAAAATATAACTTTTAAGATTATTTACTTACCCATAACCAGGTCAGTCTTACTAAGGCGAACGTATGGATTTATTTTAGCCTGAGTAAGTCCTGTTTTTTTTTATATTTCTGAGTAGCATTCGATTAGCTTTAACCCGTAAAAGCTCGTAACTTGTTAATACATCGTTTGAGTTGCTACAGTCATGCCGAGCTTGTGTATTTTAGAATATTTGTCTCCCTGGGATAACAAAATAATCCCGCTTCAGTTTACCTTCAAATCTGGTATTTCTTAGTGGAAGGTGTTTGAATTAGATTGTGGCTGTGTGTCTAAAGTTCACACTTTTTATTTAAGATTTAGGGAAGCTTCATTGTAATGATTCACGAATGCCTCTTCTGATTCACTTCCAATATTCAGCTCTATTTAACCGCATTACGAACTTGTGCGACACTGCACCATTAATGACATTCGTGAGCATTGAAGCGCAGAGGAATGGCATCATGCAATACGGGAATAATTTTCTCGGATTGCGCAGCCACCAAAACACATACATTTATTAATTTTATTAATTATGTAGGCAAGTGAAGACATTTTTTTACACAAGTATATAAACATTTTCTACATGTAGGTGTGTGGCAATATTAGGTATGTAGGTGTATAAACATTTAAATCCCACACGGACAGAAGATAAAATCCGGGCTGTACTTCAGCCTCCTTTGCTGAAGAGTTTCTCTCACAGAAGCAGAGACATACAGAACTTTTCTCCTCTTTTATGTCCATGTGAGATTCACTTGTTCACTGATATTTATTGACGACACTTTCATCACAATCTGTTGGAGTATGTAACTTAATATTGTGTGGGCTTGCAGAGAATATTAAGCTGAGGTGAGCATGGGTAAGTAACATGATATACTCGTAGAGCTATCGGATGTGTAACATGATAATATCTTGGTATACAGAGCTGAAGTATACACGGGGGGATCGGCCAAACCAGTGAGGGTCTTGGAAGGAATGTCTCCTGTTTTCTCCTTGGAGGGACTTGCCCCTGGAGGAGACTACGTAGTTACCTTAACTGCCATCAACCGCAAGGGCGCCTCTCCCCCCGTCTCCCTGGAAGCATTCACCCTTAAAGTAGCAGAGAACAGGATGAGTAAGTATTACAACAGCGTTGTTTGACGTCTATGAAACCTGAAGCCTTATCTAATACCAGTCTGATAGGGACCCATATATGGTAGGGAACCATATATGGATATTTTCCTAAAGCCGACTAATTATTCCGCTTCCCTAACACCCCATTTAAAAAAAAAAAGTGAGTTTAGCCTATAGGGTCTTTTATGTAGAATAAGCCTAATGATTTTTTTAGGCTAAATCCTTAAATAAAGAAAACATTTCTCATCAACCTTAAGAAATATTACATAATTTTAAAGAGATATATGATATATTTAGTAAAATTTGGCTTTGAAAATTACCATAGGTTAGGGTAGATTAGTTGAGATTTCTAAGTTAGGTTAGCTCAAAAAATATAAAAGGCTTTGGAATTAGATGGCTATAATTAGATGGCATCAAGCAGACCAGTGTCAGGTGCCAGAAAGATAAAGGTAACATATTATAACAGTAGCAGCAGAAGAATATATAATCCCATCGACATTAAATATTTAGTAACGACCTATTGACTTTAGTGACACGACAAATACCACCAACATGAAGTCAGACATTTTTTCATATCATTATAAAAGATTTTAATATGTGGAAATTAAAAGAAATGTTTGATATTGTCACGAAGCTGTGGTACCCTAAGGAATTTGTAGAGTCAATGTTGCTGGCAGCTAGGAAAACTTATCATAGAACTGAACCTAAGATAACACCTCAGATCAAGAATGTGCTGGTTCTCCCGAACAATAAGAAATTTTATTTGTCCTTTCGAATGTCCTAAACAGTTTGAACAAAAAAGTACTTTTTAAGAATTCATGAACTGTTAAACACATTTTGATAAAGAATTGTCCTCAGCATAATGTAGGTGGTGTCTTCAGGATCGGTTGCAATGGCTACAACTTATCTTAGGTGGGACAGACCAGCAAACCTCTAGATGTCAGGATAACACATCACCAGTATTCGATACAATCTGCACAAGAATCAAGTGTGATTCTCAACCACATTAGGGACTGCAATAATTCTGCAAACTGGTCAGACGCCAAAGTCCTGGTTCCTTGTTCCTCGTGGCTGGAATGAAACATTTTAGAATCGGCAGTTATAAAACATGATAAACGTTTATTACATAATAATAGTTGTGGCTTATATAAACTTGATAACTTTATAACTGAAGGCATTGTACACAATCTGAAGTCGGATTCCTACCTGAACTCACTGGATTATCATAAATGCAGTTTCATACTGACGAATTGAATCATTCAAGTTCTGCTGCTCCCACTCAGCCTTATGGATAAACTTAAGTGTGGAGTGGGACAGCCTATGGCAATAGCATTGTTTTTCCTTTTGTTGTTTCCCCAACTGATAGTTGCTAGATACTTTCGTGATCAAAATTATAGTCTTTTATAATGATACAATATGAAGTTTAATAACATGTTGGTGATACTTGTCATATAACGAATGTCGTGACCTCTTGGATATTGCTAAATATTTAATATCGATGGACTTTTATATACATTCATTAAGTCATTGTTAATAAAAAAAGCTATCAAATCAGGATGGGGTCCACCTCTGGTGCAAATTGTGGGACCCATAGCCTCGGAGAAGTGGGTAAAAAGGCTTCGAGGAAGAACAATTACTAAGTATTTAATGTCAATGGGATTCAATCTGTATTTTTTGGGGGGAGGGGAATAGTTTAATTTTTAAAGGGGGGGCGGATTGGTGTCCACAAGACGTCACAGATTACACTATCTACTTTCCTGTCCTCATATCTTGACAAAAAATGGTTAAAACTATGGCTATAATTTTTAAAGTTCGCTGACATAGCCACGCTCTGGTATGATCTAATGGGTTCTAATATCGGACCTTCTCTCCCTCAACAGCTATAAACAGTCACACTAGAGATGGCCCAGTTGTGTAAAATATTGCCTTACCAATTATTTAGAGTGTGTTGGGCAGGGCAGAGCCCGCCTCCTAGCAGAGAGTTCATACAGGCGGCTTCCTGTTGACTATTCCGAACTCCTTCCTTGGTACACGTCTCAATCCACAAACCATCTGTATTGGCGTTGCCCTTCACCTTGCCACCCCTAGTCTCACCACACAAAGGTTTATTTCTGGCAGTGAATCGACAGACCGATTCAGACACCATAGTCTTGTTTGCAAGATATATTCGAGGGAAAGACTGCAAGGCTTGATGAGGTTAATAACATCATCAAGAGGTACCTCATAACAGCTGGATGTCCAGCAGCAATAAGAGAGCCACACAAACTGTTCAGATCTGATAGTAACTAAAAGCGACCAAATAGTATCAATCTTCAAGCCTGGACAGAGGGGAAGCAAGTGGTCTGGGACTACACATGCGCGTCTACTTTGGCTGACACTCATCTAGAATATACCAAGGAGGAAGGAGGCGCAGCTGCCAGCTTCAGAGAGTCCCAGAAGTCTAGAAAATATGGTGAAATTGCACATCATTATATTTTTGTTCTCATAGGCTCAGAGACCCTTGGACCGTAAGGGAAGAGTGCATCTAAGTTCCTTAAGGAGCTATGCAAAACTTTCATCAGGGTAACTAGGGATCCCAAGGCAGCTAGTTTTCTGTTCCAGCGACTCAGCGCTGCGGTTCAGAAGGGCAATACCTTCTGTATGCTGGTTACGTTCCACAGCTCTGAGGACCTGAATGAGATTTTCCCAAAGTAATCTGTGAGAAACATGTAGCAATATGGACCTGAAATGTATCCCTCATTCTTACGAGCACAGGTAAAGAATGGCATGTAACCTGGTCGTAATGGGTTTTTGGAGCAAACCAAACTCAGTAGTAATATATTTAACTTGTATTTCCATCACCAGATATATATACAGTTATATAAATTTATGTACACTATGCACAGGGGTTGAATATAAGTGTACTGCACGATGACAAGAATGGCAAAACAGAAGCCAAAGAGAGAGAGCACCATAATCAACCAGCTGCTAAGCAAGTCTGGCAAATGCTGACTGCAAGTAAACCACATCGCCTCAGCATTTGGCGGGCTCGCCTGTGATTGGACCATGAACCAAAGTACTGATTTAACGATGGGTACTCTAAGAAATTGTTAAACCCTTAGCACCTAGCTTGCTGGTTGGAAGGCAGCCTATATGGGAGTGTGCACATACACCGAATAAATTGTAACATACCCTTAGCATGCCACACACACACTATATATATATATATATATATATATATATATATAATATATATATATATATATATATATATATATATATATATATATATATATATATATATATATATATATATATAACGGAGGAGAGAATAAGCGATCTTGATGCCCATGATGCTCTGTATCTCCTCACAAGGTGTCTTACTATGCCAAGACTCACTTCCTGAGGTGTGCACCCTCTTTTGACAGCCCAACACTTGATGAATATGACGCACACCTGAGATCAACTTTTAAGAAGGCACTGAACCTGTCACTAGAGGATGAGCAATGGGATCAGGCAACACTCATAGTGCGACTGGGAGGTATAAGGGTGCGCAAAGCAATGCATGTTGCTTTACCTGCTTTTCTGTCTTCATGTTTGGCTTCCAGTGCATTAGTCAAGAAGATAGTTCCAAACGCTTGAGAGACGTGGTAGGAGCTCATGACCCCAGGTTTACTGAAGCAGCGATTCGGTGGGACACCCTTACAGACTCCTCCAGTAGACCAGTGCCTCCAAAGAGCACAAACAGTCCCACTGGGACAAACCGATCATGGAAAAAATCGCCAACACAATGCTCTCCAATGCTTCAGGAAAGGACAAAGCTCGTCTCCTGGCAGTGAAGGCACCACACTCAGGAGATTTCCTGTTAGCTGTTCCCAATTCCTCCCTGGGCATGTGTCTCGACCCACAGGCCATTTGGATTGGTGTTGCTCTTCGCCTAGCCGCCCCCATCCTCACCGAACATAGGTGTATTTGCGGCAGGACGATAGCTGATCAATTCGGACTTCATGGTCTCGTGTCACACAGCAGAAGGGAAGTATGCCAGACATGAGGAGGTCAATGACATCATCAAGAGAAGCCTCGCCACAGCCCATTGCCCAGCTCAACGGGAACCCCAAGTACAAAGGTCTGATGGAAGTCAAAAACGTCCTGATGGAGCCACTATGCTACCATGGAAGGATGAAAAGCAGATTGCCTGGGACTACACCTGTGCCGCCACATTGGCAGACACCTACTTGCCATACTCCGTAGTGCAAGGGGGTGGAGCTGCAAGCCACAGGGAGACCCAGAAGATCCAAAAATATGAAGACCTTCCACCTTGCTATAACTTCATTCCAATAGGGTCGGAGGCCCTTGGAGCATGGGGCAAGTGTGCTCTAAAGTTCCTCAAAGAGCTGGATGAAAAGCTCATCATAGAAACCAAGGACCACAGGGCGACCAGCTTCCTCTTTCAGAGACTCAGTGTTGCGACCCAGAGAGGAAATGCCTGCAGCATTCTGGGCACGCGGCCCACCGCAGGGGAGCTTGACGAAGTATTCGAGATGTAGCTCTGAGTTACCTATGTTGTTTTACTTTCTGTTGTATTTTTGTGAATGTTTGGCCAATGTATTTTGTCTTTAAATAAAACATACTTGAAATATAGGGGGTGGTAGGAGAAAATTCTCAAACAGCTTCAGGGAGAACCTTGAGTTTTCCCTGAAGCAAGTTTATTCTTTTCTCTGAGGATGAGGGTCCCCAGAACAGTTCTAGAGGTGGTACCTCCCTATATATATATATATATATATATATATATATATATATATATATATATATATATATATATATATATATATATATATATATATATATATATATATATATATGTGTATATATATATATATATATATATATATATATATATATATATATATATATATATATAATATATATATATGTATATATATATAAATATATATATATAATATATATATATATATATATATATATATTTATAATATATATATAATATAATATATATATATA